ATGCTAACTGGTACCGGAGGAGTTGGGTAGAATGAAGCCCAATAACTGGTAACTCTCGCAAGGTGGACCAGGGACAATCTTTGACCGGAACGAAATATCATCATTGTGCCGATTTTTGTCAAGGTTAGCGTGTATTCATGCTCACCACACGATTTCGCATGCTATGCGATCTACCAACAGGTTTATCGTGAATCTCCTGCCCGATGCCTGAATCCGAACTTGTGGACTTGACATTGTGATCGACACGTGGCGCTTCCTCATCTTCTGCATCCGACTTCCCCATTAATCCTGGGCGTCGCGTCTGAAAAAGAAACAATTCTTATTGCAGAAAATGTTATGGAAAACCACAGAAGTCAAATTCAAGTAACCTGTGTATTCGTAATTTCTTACTACCCTTTTTTTGTGGCATTTCACAGCTGGTATCATCGCAATCAGTCAGGGCGATGCCAAGGCACTTGGAATGAGCCCAACCGCGAGGGGATTTTCGCCACTGGATTTTTTGCTAAATCGATCGCGAACCAATCACTATTGGTAGAGCAAGGCAGTCGGACGCGGGCTCACTCCGCCCCTTACTGGCGCCGCCCTGACTGACTGCGACGATATCAGCTATAAAAGCTTCAATGTGGGTATCACGGAAGTTGGATCGTTCAATCCACCACTTAGCATGTACCTTCTGCAAGTCTTGAATTGTAGCGCGAGTGTATGTATCTTTCATAAGTTGTGTTTGGTAATGAGCCAATCACAGACTACTATTTCTGGTAGTGGCAAATGAGCCAATCACAGACTAGTATTTCTGATAGTTTGTCGGTGCTGCTCACCCTCGGAGGATGCAGGGCTGCGGCGTACCATTAAAAAAGTTTTCCCAGATACGATGTTTGACTTTGCTAACAAGCAGGTTACTCAAATAAAGATTGTGATGAAGTATTACTTGTTTGAGTTCACCTATATTTTCAGTTTTTTGTTTCTTTCTAGATAAATGAATTACCTTCGATTTGTGTTTGCCTAGTGTTGCAGGATAACAGGCATCTGTAAGCGAAGATGTGCACTGAGTATGTACCTTCACGTCACAGTCTAAAAAGTAATGATAATCGGAAATCAAATAATTAATCGATAAAATTTCAAGTGTGAACAGTTTACTTGTTAAATTTGTATACTTACTGGCACAAAAGTAACACCATGGTTGCATTCCCCAGATGGCATCACGGCACTGATAGCAGTAGTGTACCGTGTTCACCGGATTCACAACAAACATATGTCCCTTGACCTGAAATCATCTGCCACTAAGGTTTTCGCATTATGGTCAAAGCCATTACTAGATTTGGAGGCAATTTCCAAGCCGTTGCATGGGAGGAGTTACTTGGGTGACAGCCCCTTTTCATTGGTGCGCTTCTCGTTCTAAGGTGGATCGTGCAAAGGAGGTACACAATGTTGTCCAAACTAATACCACCCACAGAGCCAGCTAGCATGTGAGGAAGTGGAGTGATTTAGGGGCCCTACCACATTTGAAAAAATGTCTGGGCGCTGTTTGTCGACGAGGGGGCATTTTGTACTATCATTGCTTCCTCAGTTCCGGTTTACATGTCTCACTCTGGCGAAACCTGTGAACTCTTGTGAAGCTGGAACAAGGTAGTCAAGCCATCATGTTAAAACCTGTCAACTCGAGAAGAGGCTGTCTAGATAGGCCGACACGTCGAAGTAGCAAAAGTGCAAAATGCCCCCCCCCCGTCGACAAACTGCGCCAAAAGTCTGTGTAAATGGATTAGCCATTATAGTCTCAGTCTCATAGAACAACAGGGAAAACATTAACAAAGAACGTGGAACGATTTTTTGAAGAAATATCAAGGTACGGTAAGAAAAATATAGACTGGAGATTTTGAGTGGGAGGGGAGAACAAAAAAAACAGAAAAGTTCATGATACAGCACTGGACAGGACTATTTAGCATTTTCCCCTTTTTACGATCACTAGTTTTCAGGCCTCTTGGGAGTCTGTAGTTCCTTCTGTCCGCAGACCCCAAATGGGGAGTTTCGCTCAGCGTTTCCCGTCCAACTGTTGAAAACCTCGGTCCTCGAGTATTAATTTTTCGGAAATCCGAAAATCCCCGGTTCCCCTTCAGCGAAAGACGAAAGGCAGATCATTGTCAGAATAGCGACTAGTGGTGGCAAAAGACCATTGTAAAAAGTTCGCCCTGCTTAAAATAAACAACACGCTTAACAAATTCTTCTGGTCGCAGAAAAAAACAGTGCCTGACTCGAGCAAATATTGCAGAAAAGAAATAACAGATAATCCTAG